TGAAAACTTAGAAGAACAAGCCACAAGCAATGAATATCCATAGTAGGTTACGCTTTATTTGAATCATATGCATTGGACTTAGCGGGGCTCGGCACAGGGGCCGGGCCCGTCTAGGACATGTACCAATTTTTCGGACCAACATGTTCATCTTTATGTGCTATATGAAATATTATTTGGTAGGCTTCACTCAAATGTTGACCGACTTTAGGATAGATTGATTGAATAGAGGAGAGAGAAAAAGATTTTTTTTTTATTATTATTTTTTTCCATAAAGTACCCATTTTTTTATATAAAAGTTTGAAGGGTTTTAAAATTATAATTTTTAAAATAATTTTTTTAATCGAACTACATGGGTTTAATTCTCACCGGATATGAGATACGTAGGCAACCTTCATCAGGTTCAACCCCATTTTAAATTAAAATAAAGAGAGTAAAAAAAAGGTTTCTATGGACTATTAGTTATTATTTTTTATTTTTTCAAATAATGATAATATAGTCACTTTGTCAGTTTTTAACCAGTTTTGCCCTTGCATACGGTCTTTTTGTCGAAATAGCCTTGAAACCTGCATCGAAAATGCGAAATGGGAAGCCAGTTTATTTTTTATTAGTTTTTACTTGTTTTTACAAAAAAAAAAAAGAAATTATTTGGGCCTTTACTTTTTATTTAATGACTATTACTAATTTAATTTTTTTTAGTTTCATAGTTTGTTTTTTATTTTTTATTTTTATAGAGTCAAACCCGAGAAATTAGAATTTTTGTGTCAATATTATATTTAATAAAAACTAACCCTGTGTCTGGATAAACAGGTGCACTATGAGTGGGGAAATAGGTAACTTTGAAAAGAGGCCAGGTCAGAAAGGATACCGAATTTTCTTATTGTTGATCAAATACCACAATTATTATGGGATTGGTGGAGAGATTTTAAGGAATATGAGCGAAACCAGATAAAGAAGTACTTGGGACATTTGGTTCACATGATGACGATCAAGCCCAGGAGGGATGTGATCGAAGCTTTGATTCCGCATTGGGATCCTGAAAACAATGTGTTTCATTTTGCTGACTGTGAAATGACTCCGACCTTAGAGGAAGTCGCCCATTTCCAGGGGTGGGGCCGTAATCTTCGCCGCCAATGGCCCATAGTACCAAAAAATGTGAATGAGGGTAAGTTTCTGAAGCTCTTGAACATTAATTACGGACAATATGAAGGTTTAGGAGGCAAGTGGGTTAAGTTGGGATTTCTGTGTCACTTGTATGGCCTAGAATGCAATTTCGAAAGGAACATGGAAAAACTAAAATCAAAGGAAGACAAGGAAACATGGAAGATACACAGAAGGTTTGCATTTATGGTTGCCTTTTTGGGGCGTGTAGTTTTTCAGGAAAGAGAAGGACGAATTGACATTCCGCTTGGCAGGTGTAGTGGAGGCTCTGACCTCAAAAGAGGATGATTATACTTTGGTCCCTATGATTCTTTCTTCCATTTTTCGTGCTTTAACTAGATATAAATTGGGCGAAAGAAACTTTGATGGCTGCAAGATTTTGCTACAGATATGGTTTTTGGAGCATTTTTATCGTCATCCTACGATCTCTAATTTTAGTGAACGCTGGCCCAATCACACTTATGATCACCAGAAAAGGATTGACAAATGTGACTTACCTGAAGGGATTAACGCCTGGAAAGAATTACTTCTTACTTTGTCTACCAAACAGATCACATGGAACTACGATTGGTTTTCCTCTAAAGAGGTCATTTGTGAGTCTGCATACCATTCTTATTTGGTACTCATAGGATTGGATGGTGTTCAGCCTTATGCTCCACTTCGGGTAATGCGCTAGTTCGCACGACGACAGGAGGTGCCACCAACAAGAGATATGAGCAAGTTCTGTTATAATTTTGGTAAATATCAACCTCATGATGAAGAGGAAATTATGAAAATTTGGTATGCAAGTAAAGTTTCGGAGTTGAATGAGATGGTAGAAGACCGAGATCGTGGAGAGGTGATCCCTGAATATATTACTTGGTTTCATGATCCTTCATCTTTTAGAGATAAGCCTGAGGAGTCGAACAGGAGAAGAAATGATCAAAGAACTATAGAAAAGCTGGAAGAGGAATTTGAGCATGCTCAGATGACCATAGCCAAACAACAAGCCCAGCAGCAAGCCGGAGTTGCTCAGATTCGTTTAAATATTGAGAAAGATTATCAATCTGCCTTGAGGGTCATGGATAAAGATCTAAAGCAGGCTAAAAATGAGGCAGCTCGCTTACAAGAAGAACTGGAAAACACGATTGGTTTAGCTAGAAGAGTTGAGGCAAACAAAATTGCTGAAATACATAAGTTGCAAGAAGATTTGAGTATCATTGAAGAGGATACGTACCAGCAACAACTGGAGTTTGATCAGCAGAAAGAGCTGTTTGAAACAGAAAGGGCCCAGTAGATACGCTCAAAGAGTCAACTTTATGCACAATTAGAAGAAATAAAAAGGTAGAAGAGGGGTCATCAACACACAGATTTTGAGGAAGAGCGGCGTCGGTGGATGATTGAGAGAGGTGTGTTAAACCGTCGCATTGAAGAATATGAGGGACGTGACGCTCAGATGGGGCACGCCCTCAACACTACCCAGATGTGGTTGCAGAATTGTCACGTGAATATGGGGCAAGCTAGAGAGCAGGTACTTCGATTGGCAGAAAAAGCAGCATATGTTCATGATGATCATCGTCATGTAAATAATGAGGAAGTTTGTCAACAAGCACGTGCCCTCGTTTCACAGTTGCCGACGGTGTTTCCGAATTTGTACGAGACTTTGGGGGGACAGTGGAGGCCAAGAGATGTAGACCATTGATGATATTAGTTTAAGCAAGAAGGCCATTGAAGATTAAATTTTTAGTGCATTCCATTAGTTCTTAGTTTCATTTTTATTTGTCGCATTTTTAATTTTATATTTGGAGACTTTTATTATTATCAAAGTTTATTTTATTCCTGTCATGTTTATGTCTTTAGAGTCAGTAGAGTCAGTTTGTATATATTTTCTTTTCTCTCATTCTATATAAAAAAAATTGACTGAAAATGAATGAAAAATATTTTAGTTTGTTTTATTTTCTTTTATAAAAAAAAAGTATTTCTCCTGAACTACGTAGTGGTCTGATTCATGCGGCGTCACGATATGTAGGCAATCCCCATTGGATACGATCATAGCCATAATTAATCTAGAAAAAAAAATTTGAAAAAAAACATAAAAAAAGAGCAGCAAGTTCAAAAGGAAATAAACCAACAAGCCGGGATGAAGCATGAAGCCTTCCAAAATCATTTTAGAAATGAAAATGGCATTAGGTGCATGGCATACAATGTGTGATTAATATCTGCAAAATGCCTAACTCTAACACGTTTGTTGTTTGTGATTTCTAAAGAGATAAAGTTAAACAGAGGTGGTTGGTTTGTGGTTTAAACTGGCGACTCACCCTTACAACACGAGATCAAAAGGAAAAAGTAGAACGACAAACAACAGTCAGAATGAATCAGATAATGATCATGGACAATCGGTCGAACAAGGTTCGGGACTGGTTGAAGAAGTAAGAGTGTTGAAACAACAATTGGCAGAGATGTACCAAGCTTGGGTGAATGGACAAGCACCGCCCTCATTACCCATAGGGCCTTTGGATAATCTTCATAATGTGTCAGTCGCAAATAAAGTGCCCATCTCCATAACAAGTAACCCATTGTACCAACCTGGTTTAAGTCCTCCAACCGCACCCCTCAGAAATGACCCACCTACTGTACCCATTGTCCCTACTTTCACCGTTCCTCAACCAGCTCTCGCTCAAAAGCTCAACAATGATCCACATCTGAATGCTCATGATGCCCAACATTACTCTACAGAACTGACTTTCAAGGTTCCAGATTCATACAAGCACACTCCTCAAAACATGTTCCCAGTTGAGATCGAAAAGCCCGAAAAGAATATGGAACATGAGGAAATGACCAGAAAAATGAAGAGCTTGGAATAAACCATGAGAAACATACAGGGTTTGGGAGGCCACAAGAGTGTTTCGTTTAATGATCTATGCATGTTCCCCCATGTTCATTTGCCACCGGGCTTCAAGACCCCCAAGTTTGACAAGTATTACGGTCATGGTGATCCCGTTGCCCATTTGAAGAGATATTGTAACCAATTAAGAGGAGCAGGAGGTAAAGAAGAATTACTCATGGCTTATTTTGGGGAAAGTTTGACAGGAATTGCTTCAGAGTGGTTCATAGATCAAGACATCTCTCACTGGCACGTTTGGAATGACATGGCTCAAGATTTTGTCCAACAATTTCAGTACAATATTGATATAGTGCCAGACCGCCCCTCTCTTGTCAACAAAAAGAAGAAACCAGCAGAAAGCTTCAGAGAATATGCAATCAAGTGGAGAGAGCAGGCTGCTAGGGTCAAACCACCAATGAAAGAGGCAGAAATGATTGACTACTTTCTCCAAGCGTTAGGATCCAAATTAACGATTAAGATTGGGGAAATAGTTGAGAATGGCATGAAGTCGGGCAAAATTGTGTGTCAGGCAGCCCTTAAGGCGACCACGCAAGCAATTCAAAGCGGGTCAGGCAGTTTCGGAAATCGGAAAAAGAATAAGGAAGGATCCATGATGGCATCTGGGTTCGGGGGAGTTCAAAGAGGAATAGTTCCTTCGTACGTGCAATTACAACAAGGACAATCCAATTCTCCTCAACATTATTATCCGCCTCAGGGTCCCCGGTACTCAGTGCCCTCGCAACAATACACAGTGTTTAATGCTCAGGCTTATGCTAGGCCTCCCAATCACCAACAATGGCGAGCACCGACTCCACAAGGCTCCCGTCAAATCCGGCCAAATTTTCAGGCGCCATATAATCCTCGTCCCAGACAGGAATATGTGAGAGAATAGGAGCCAAAGAAAGAGTTCACCCCAATTGGAGAATCGTATGCAAGCCTATTTCGAAAGTTGATGCAGCTAAAGTTGATTGAACCTATCATGCCGCATTATGTGACTCCAAATTCAAAAGGCTTTGACTCCAATGCAAGATGTGAGTATCACTCTAACACCCACGGTCATAGTACCAAGAATTGTTGGACATTAAAGAAAGCCATTGAAAATTTGATTGAAGCAAAGGCAATTGTGGTAGCAAACAATGAAGATACTCCTAATATCACAAACAATCCGCTCCTAGCTCATGATAATACACATTTTATTGGGATGATTTGTGATGATCGGGATTATAAGCAGTCTGGCAAGACAGAGACGATTGTTGGAACCATAGGGCAAGAGCCAAAAGTGATAGTAAGCCCGCCGCAATCGGCACCGTTGACTGTGAAAGGTGCGAGTTCTAGTTCAAACACGACAGGTTCTGAAAAAACGATTCTCTATGTCCTTGGAAGCACGAAAAAGATTAGGGTTCAATTGGGTGGTCCAAAACATTACAACCCTGGGGCATTCAAAAGATTGTTCCGAATAATGCTTTGAGAAATATAACAGAGCCAGTTGTAATCCGACCTGTTGCACAACTCCCAATGTCAAACACAAAAGCTATTCCCTGGAATTATGACAAGACTATCATGACATACAAAGGAAAAGAGATAGTGGAAGAAACAGATGAAATGGGAGGCTTGACCCGCTCTGGAAGGTGCTACTCACCAGAGGAATTAACAAAAGCTAAGCAAGCCAAGGAAAATCACTTTCTAGTGAAAGAACCCATTTCAGAAAAAGAAGCGGAGGAATTCCTTAAGAAGATGAAAATGCAAGACTACTCAATCATTGATCAACTAAGGAAAACCCCCGCTCAGATATCTTTGTTATCTCTGCTTTTGCACTCTAAAGAACATCGCCGTGTGTTGATCAAAACTTTGAACGAGGCATATGTCTCAGAAAAGACAACGGTGAATCAGCTAGAAAAAATGGCTGAAAGATTCTTTGAGGTGAACAAAATCTCTTTCAGCGATGATGATTTGCCTGAGGAAGGAGCTGGGCACAATAAAGCTTTGCATCTTATGGTCAAATGTGAAGGGCATTACGTAAAAGGAGTCATGATTGACGGAGGCTCAAGTGTAGATGTATGCCCTCTTTCTATTCTATAACAACTGAACATTGACACTAACAGAATTCGAACTAGTAGTGTCAGCATCAGGGCTTTTGATGGTTCAAAAAGAGACACTATTGGGGAAATCGAACTCACCATGACAATTGGCCCGGTTGATTTTAACATTGTCTTTCAAGTGTTGGATATGAAAACTTCCTATAATTTTCTTCTGGGAAGGCCGTGGATCCATATGGCCAGAGCTATACCATCCACCCTACATCAAATGGTCAAATTCGAGTATGACAGGCAAGAAATTTTTGTTCATGGGGAGGATGACTCATCCGTCTATAATGACCCGTCCATTCCATGTATCGAGGCCAAGGAAGGATGTGAATCCCTCATATACCAAACATTTGAGGTGATTGAGGTAGACCAAGTGGAAGAAGGAAAACCAATTCTGCATCCCCATCTTTCATCCACATCTATGATGGTAGCTTCACTGATGTTGAGGAACGGCTATGAACCAGGAAAAGGATTAGGATCCTTTCTGCAAGGAATTGTGAACCCCATTGCTCCTTTTTCGAAGAAAGATACCTTTGGCTTGGGTTTTAAACCAACATCAGCTGACATAAATAGAGCCAAGGCCCGCAAAAAGAATGGTTGGAAATTGTCAAAACCAATCCCTCACATTGCCTACTCTTTTGTCAAGCCACAATTTGAAGAAGTCCAAAATCCTTCTACTCAGGATGACATTGATGAAGTTTGCCAGGGTCTCAAGGAGATGTTCTATGGGATCAATATGGTTCAAGTTGGTGAGGGCCCTAGCCGTGCAAGTGTTCAGCTGATTGGTCCAGATACCTCGCTCAACAACTGGGAAGCAACTCCTCTTCCCATCAGGAAGGAGTCTTGGTAGTCTGTTTTGTTGCTTTTTCTGTATTTGGATTATTTTCAGGGTTGTAATCCAGATATTTTAGTTTAATTGCTTTGCTTTGATGTTAACCCTTCTATCCTTTCAAATTCAATGAAATGAAGTTCCAGTTTCATAGTAGAATTCTGTCTTTTCCTTTCCCTAATTTTTGTTAATTTCTTATCATTTTCAGTTTCGTTAATGCTGGCTTTAAAAACATGACATGCACGCGGAATTCATGCCCAGATCTTAAAAAGTTGTCTAATCTCGAAATAATGAATCAAGAAGTTGAGTATGATGAAGATGAGGCTTTTAAGGAAATAAAAAGAGAATTGGATCAATTTGAGAATAAGCCTAAGCCTAACTTAAATGAAACTGAGGCAATTAACCTGGGAAGTCTTGAAGAAATCAGAGAAACAAAAATAAGCATTCATACTGAACAAAAGACGAGAGATGCCATAATTCAAGTTTTGTTCGAGTACAGAGATGTATTTGCTTGGTCGTATGATGACATGCCGGGTTTGAGTGCCGATTTAGTGGTCCATAAGCTTCTACATATCCTAATTTTCCACCAATCCAACAAAAACAAAGGAAGTTTAAGACAGACATGAGTGATAAGATTAAAGAAGAAGTCACGAAGCAACTAAGTGCAAATGTGATCAGGGTCGTCCGATATACTACATGGTTAGCAAATGTTGTGCCAGTGCCAAAGAAGGACGGGAAAATCAGAGTTTGTGTTGACTATAGGGATTTAAACAAAGCAAGTCCAAAAGACAACTTTCCCTTACCCAACATTCATATCCTTGTTGACAATTGTGCTAAACATGAGATCCAATCTTTTGTGGATTGTTATGCCGGGTATCACCAAATTCTGATGGATGAAGAAGATGCAGAAAAGACCGCCTTCACCACTCCATGGGGAACTTATTGTTATAGGGTCATGCCATTTGGTTAGAAGAATGCAGGGGCAACTTACATGAGGGCCATGACTACCATATTCCATGACATGATGCACAAAGAGATTGAAGTGTATGTTGATGATGTGATCATTAAGTCTAGAACACAAGATGATCATGTGCAAGACTTGAAAAAGTTCTTTGAAAGGCTACGAAGGTACAATCTCAAACTCAATCCAGCCAAATGTGCATTTGGAGTTCCTTCTGGGAAGCTTTTGGGTTTTATAGTTAGTCGAAGAGGCATTGAGTTAGATCCCTCCAAGATAAAGACCATTCGAGAGCTGCCTCCCCCGAAGAATAAAAAAGAAGTCATGAGTTTGCTCGGGAGGTTGAACTACATCAGCAGGTTCATTGCGCAGCTTACAACCACATGTGAGCCTATATTCAAGTTGTTGAAAAAGAACGCCGCTATCAAGTGGACAGATGAGTGCCAAGAAGCTTTTGATAAGATCAAGGAATATTTGTCAAATCCCCCTGTTTTGGTCCCGCCAGAACCTGGTAGGCCTCTATTTTTATATCTGTCAGTAACGGATAGTTCTTTTGGTTGTGTTTTGGGTCAACATGATGCCACAGGCAAAAAGGAACAAGCAATATATTATTTGAGCAAAAAGTTCACCACTTATGAGGCCAAATACACTCTTTTGGAAAGGACATGTTGTGCCTTAACCTGGGTCGCTCAGAAGCTTAGGCATTATCTTTTGGCCTATACAACTTACCTCATATCCCGAATGGATCCCCTAAAGTACATTTTTCAGAAGCCTATGCCAACTGGCAGATTGGCAAAGTGGCAAATCTTGCTCACAGAGTTTGATATTGTTTATGTCACTCGCACTGCCATGAAGGCACAAGCTTTGGCTGATCATCTGGCAGAAAACCCGGTTGATGATGAGTATGAATCTTTGAACACATACTTCCCAGATGAAGAGGTTAATTTAGTTGAAGAAGCAGTCCAAGATGACAATCAAATTTGGAAACTATACTTTGATGGGGCTGTCAACATAAAAGGCGTAGGGATTGGGGCAATTCTTGTATCACCTACTGGGCAACATTACCCTGCCACGGCACGACTTCGTTTCTTCTGTACAAACAACACGGCAGAATATGAAGCTTGCATCATGGGTCTGAACATGGCAATAAACCTAAATGTGCATGAACTGTTGGTGATGGGAGATTCAGATTTGCTTATTCGGCAGGCTCAAGGTGATTGGGAGACTCGAGACATCAAGCTCATTCCATATAAACAATGTGTGGAAGATCTTAGCAAGAGATTCAAGTCCATCGAGTTCAGATACATTCCCAGGTTTCACAATGAATTAGCTGATGCCTTGGCCACCCTGGCCTCAATGCTTCCATATCCGGGTAATACTCACATTGACCCATTAGAAATTCAAATTCGGGATCAACATGGTTATTGCAATACAATTGAAGCAGAACTAGATGGTGAACCATGGTACCGTGATATTAAACAGTTTCTGAAAACAAGAGAATATCCGGAACATGCTAATAGGGATCAAAAGAGAACTATTAGGCGACTATCTAATGGTTTCTTTTTGAGTGGGGAAATCCTATACAAAAGAACCCCGGATTTGAATTTATTGAGATGTGTGGATGCCAAAGAAGCTGAAATGATTATGAATGAGGTGCATTCGGGAGTTTGTGGTCCGCACATGAATGGATATGTTCTAGCAAAGAAAATCCTTCGGGCAGGATATTATTGGCTTACTATGGAGCGAGATTGCTTTCGTTTTGTTCGCAAGTGCCACCAGTGTCAGATTCACAGTGATTTGATTCACTCGCCTCCTTCAGAGTTGTATCCTATGTCGGCTCCTTGGCCTTTTGTTTCTTGGGGAATGGACGTCATTGGCCCAATCGAGCCAAAAGCTTCAAATGGGCACAGATTCATCTTGGTTGCAATTGATTACTTCACCAAATGGGTGGAAGCTATTACATTGAAAGCAGTTACCAAGAAAGCAGTAGTAGACTTCGTTCACTCCAACATCATCTGTCGTTTCGGTATTCCAAAAACCATTATTACAGATAATGCTGCTAATTTGAATAGTCATCTGATGAAGGAGGTATGTGAACAATTTAAAATTGAGCATCGCCATTCTACTCCTTACCGACCCAAAGCTAATGGAGCTGTTGAAGCTGCAAATAAGAACATCAAGAAGATTCTTAGGAAGATGGTCCAAGGGTCTAGACAATGGCACGAGAAATTGCCTTTTGCTCTTTTGGGATACCGGACAACTGTCCGTACATCAGTTGGCGCAACGCCCTACTTGTTAGTTTATGGAACTGAAGCGGTCATACCTGCTGATGTTGAGATTCCCTCTCTCCGAATAATTGTTGAAGTTGGGATTGAAGACACTGAATGGGTGAAGTCACGATTGGAACAGTTGAGTTTGATTGATGAAAAACGTTTGGCGGCAGTTTGTTTTGGTCAGTTATACCAACAAAGAATGGCACGCTCTTACAATAAGAAAGTGCGCCCAAGAAAATTTGAGGTAGGACAGCTTGTTTTGAAACGCATCTTTCCACACCAGGAAGAAGCAAAAGGAAAGTTCGCCCCGAATTGGCAAGGTCCTTACCTCGTCAAGAAAGTATTGTCGAAAGGAGCTCTACACTTGGCAGATATAGAAGGAAAGGTGACAGACATATCCGTCAATGCAGATGCGGTCAAGAGATACTATGTCTGACATGCTTCTGTTGGGGCATTTGGTTTATACTTAGCATTCTCAGGTTGGGATGACGAAAGGCTATCATTATCGCTACCCAAACATTGGTCAACCCTAGTTAGCCCTTTGAAGCCTTGTTTATATTTCTTTGTTTTACCTTCTTTTGGAACCAATGTAAAAAAAAAGTCATCAAAACAAGTTCATGTTCTCTGAACTACATTCGACTTGATTCCGAAAGGATACATAGGAGAAAAACAAAGAGAGAGTCTTATCGATGAAAACCCTCAAGGGCACTATAAGGCGATGGCGAGTTGAGAAAAACAAATGAGAGAGTCTTATTGGTGAAAACCCTCACGGGCACTATAAGGCGATGGTGAGTTGAGAAAAAGGCAAATGAGAGAGGTCAATTGGTGAAAACCCACAAAGGGCATCGTTGATCGATTTTAGGTCTTCTTATATCCCGGCACAAGCATGGTTAAAGAACTCAGTTTCAAAGTAAAGTTTACAACAGATTTTGAGAATTAGACGTGTTAGACGGATCGGGCATCCAGTCCAAAGTGCATGTCATGTTCATTGAAGTCAACATATTCCTCCAAATAAGTCCTTTCTTATTCTTCCCTGAAAGGGATGCTTCTTGATTAAGTTGTAATGCTTATTAGTTCACCTACTTGTTTTCTTTCGTACTATTATTTTTAAGTCCCTTTCAGTTTAATTTTGTCAAAGCAAAGCAAAGAAAAGGCCACAAAATTGGTTACAGTTTCCCCGTTATATGAAGTAAAAATTTCTGAGCATAAACAGTATGGGCAAAGCCATAAAGCCGACTTTGATATTCCTTGTCAAGCAAAAGGCTTGAAGGACTTAGCAATGTTTCAAGGATCAACAAAAGTTACTCATCAAAAGTTGTTTTGGGGAGCAAGGTTGTTTGCACCATAGACACAAATGGTGATAGGCGCAAAATAGTCAGGTGTTGATATTGAGAAAGAAGATCTTCAGAGAGTAAAGTCAGAATCTCCCGGCAATTTGTACGATCCTCGACATGGTCGATTTTTCTAACAAGTGTAATGGACGCAAGTTCAAGTCGCCCAAGAAATCAAGGCCACAAACTGACCACCATTTTAAAACTAACGAATCTTTCTTTGTTTAGAACAGGAACAGAATAGTTTAGTGAAACAGTTCGTGGAAAGACGAACACCACCAAGTGAAGTTCTCAAATCCATGATTTCTTTCCAATATGCACGTAATCATGTTATTTTTAGTTTCATTATAGGGGATTAACACCCTATCTTCAATACAGGGTACTACATTCCCTGGTTGCATTTCTTATTGCCAACATAGGGTACTACATTCCCTGGTTGCACTTCTTGTTGCAAACATA